CAGAGTCATCTCTCCAACCCCTAATTTCAATTCTTTAAATGGGTTATTGGCCAGCAGTGACATGGAGTTACTGTTGCAGCCTGGCAAAGGTGACCCAGAGGAGAGTTTCTACTGTCAAAGTTCCCATGTCAGAAGGATAAAATGAGCTCTCTCTAAAGAGCAAGATGTCTGGAACTTTAGATCCAAAAGTTCCATAAAATAACAAGGAAGAGGTGGCCAATCAGCCAAGCTTTAAAGGAGAAATGACAAACCTGTCAATAGGTAGAGACAGGTTGCGACCAGCCTGGTTATCCACTGTCTTTTTTCCATCACTTTGGCAGCCTGCTCCACTGGTATCAGCTCCCTACCCTAGCAGTCTCCCTCTCCTGGGCTATGTGCTAATATTCCTGGGGTCACAGGTAGTCCTGACCAAAGACCTGGGAGGCAGAATAATCCCCTTGGCCTTGATCTAAAGATGATGTCACTTCATCCTTTGGACCTCAGGGGTCCTCTCTGACATAAAGACAATGCTCTGCCTTATTGGGGTACCAAGGAGATCAAGGAGAACTGAAAAGAGCTGGGTAACTGGTGCATTTGGATGTGGGACCCATGAATGCAGGAAACGGGGGTCAAATGGATGCTACCGATCATAAAGGAGCCTGGGCATGAGGGCAGACAGAAGCTTGGTGCCATCTCACCCGTTCTGCTAGATCAGACTTTCATATGGGGAGTTTCAGAGAGCCTCCCCAACCTTGGCTTGGGGTGGGACTGGTGCCTTTCCTGCCACACCTTCTCTTAAGCATTTGTCACATAATTATAAGAATGGATTAACAGACTATTAGGCTACTTAAAAGCAGGGCATGCTCTATGTATTTTTTTTTTCTACTAATTCATGCTTAGCATTCAGTAAACCTCCAATCTTTGTTCTATGACCAAAGGGATGCAAGGCATTCCAAACTGTCAGTCCCATGGGATTGTAACAGTTGCTTGTTCCTCTTACCCTGGCTTTGCAAAAACAAAACCTGAGTGCTTCCCAGCTTTGTACAGGGTCTTGCTATAAGATACTACCTGACAGTTCCAATGCTCTGAGCTGCCCAAGCAACAGCAACTTGCCCTGGTTTTCCTTGCCTGCACCACACAGGCCAGGCTCATCTCTGGGTTTCTAAAGCTTGGAGTTTAAGCAGATAAAGAAAAATCATGAAATGACACTAAAATAAACAGCTCTCTCAAGGGGGAAAAAAAAAACCCAACAGATAAACCCTACCCCACAAGTAAACACAGCTGGATCTTTGAATGTTAGTTGCCAGAGCAGTTTGAGAAGGCCTTTCTGCCATTTGCAGAGACCCAAAGGGTGGCTAGTTGAGACCTATGTTGGAAGAGGCTTTCCTCCTATGCAGAGGGCCCACCTTCATACTGACCTGTGTCCTCCTAGGTCACCACCTCAGACCCCTCCTCCCCAAGCCCCAATTGTATTTTCAAAGTACCCCCTAATTAGGCACCTTCTTCTATATCCCTGAGGGCCAGGTATAGACTGGCGGGATCCCTTGCAGATTTGTGACCACCTGCAAGTCACAGCAACTCCCTTTGAACCTTAGTTTCCTGTTTATTATTTGGAAACAAAAATGATAGCACCTGCTAGGCATGGTGGCTCATGCCTTTAATCCCACTATTTGGAAAGGAGAGGCAGTTCCAGGCCAGCCTGGTCTACATAGCAATTCCAGGTCAGCCAGGGCTACACAATGAGACCCTTCGTGGGGCAAAGAGATGGTTCAGTGGTTAAGAGTGAGCTCTGGCTGCTCTTGCTGAGGACCAGGATTTAGTTGCCAGCATTCACATGCCAGTTAACTCCAGTTCCAGAAGATCTGCACAACATGGGTTCACTTATATGCATGCAAGCAAAACATACACATAAAATAAATAATTTTTTTAATGATAGCACCTTATAAAGTCATTCTGAAGATTGAATGAAATAAACTCCAACTATTTGGCACCTAGGTAGACTTGCCTTCCCAGGCCATGGTTGTCTCAGTACATAAACTGCCTCTCAGTTTGCCCCACCCAGCCTCAAGGCAGCCAGAGCTCCCAGGAAAGAAGGAAACTCCCTCCCTCAGGGTGAACAGGGAGGAGACTCTGATTCAATAGCCATAGAAGGTTGCTTGCCGGATAAGAGGCAGGGCCAGACAGTGTGCAGGAGGTGCTGTCTTGGGAGCACAGGCTAGGGATCTGGGTCTTTGTATATTTACGTGACCTCTGGGTAAGCTCTTTTCCTGATCAGTGCTTCACCTGTAAAAGAGAGTGCTTTATACAGGATGGCAGTGATTAAGGATGGGGCCTGGAAGTAAGAGTTGGGTGGGCATAGAAAGGGTCAGAAACTACTTCCGGGGCAGTCATGTGCCTAGGACCCAGCTGAAGGACACTCCTACCAAGCTCCACAGAGTACTCAGCTTCCAGGTAGTGGCCAATCCAATTTCTTTGCGTTTTGAAGAAGAAAAATAAACAAATAAATATAAAAACCTCTCACTCTCTGCTCATTGCCCACCCTAGTCATTTTCTCTCTCCCCTTCCAAACCTGCAGCCAGCCTCACACAGGAAGCTTTCCCAGGTTAACCAGCTACACCCCCACTTTTTATTCTAGCAGAGCATTTGAACAAACTCTTGGAGGGCAAAGTCCATAGCTTGGATCTTTTGGCTAAAGCCTGGCACACAGTAGATACTTTGGAAATAAATACCAGTTCAATCTGCACCTAAAAGTTTGTTCACAATGGCAAAAGTTTCTGTTACATATTTATTTAAAGAGTTAAGAAAACACCACAATATAGGACAGTCCTGTCATAGAAGTCCCAGTGGCCAAGGGCCCTGTCTCTCCCTTCTTGTAACAGGGATATCAGACCTCTTGCTTAACCCACTGTATCATAACATGGGAAAAGGGTCAGGGAGCACACTGGTTGAGAGCAAGGGCTTTGGTGTTTGGATTCTGGCTCAGCCATTTACTAGCAAAGTTAGGCAAGTAACTTAACTATTATGAATCTTGATTTCTTTTTCTCCAAAAATAAGGAAAATACCTATCTCACATGATGGTTGTAAAAAGCAAATGAGGGGTCTGTGAGATGGCTCAGTGGGTAAAGGCACTTGCTGCCAAGCTTGATGACCTAAATTCTATCCTTGAAACCCACATGGGTAGGAGAGAGCTGACTCTGGTAAGTTGTCCTCTGACCTACACACACACACACACACACACACACACCATAGCATGTTCCAGTGTTCGCACACAAGTAAATAAATGTAAATGACCTTTAATCCCAGTACTTGGGAGGTAGAGTTAGGCAGATCTCTGTGAGTTCAAGGCCAGCCTGGTCTACATATCACATTCTAGGCCAGCTGGGGCTACAGGGAGACCCTTGTCTCAACGAGAAATTCATTAGTACAGAAACTGAGCACCTAACAAGTACTAATAAATCAAGGCTTCATTAATATTATATCATAGATATGACTCTTGACCCCAGCTACAGTCTGCTGCCCAGCACTGCCACCCCCTTCCCTTTTGTTTCCTTTGTGTTCAGTCTTGCCTTTTTCTTCATCAGAGTACAGTATACAAAGAACCTCAGTCAGACAAGCACGATTACTTGGAGAGGGAGGGTGGAAGTGGGGACAGTGAAGTTAACCCATCCTCCGGCAGCCCAACTAACCAACAACCTAGGTCACATCTTCTAGGAAGAAGAGTCCCTCACTGCCCTTCCTAGCACCCTTTTCCCTCAGTAGACCTGTTTGGTCTCCAAGAGAAAGAGGACTTTAATCACACTCATGAAGTTGAATTAGAATGGTGGACCCAAGCCTCTGGTTGCATATTTTGATCTGGTGGTGTTTCATAATAAACTTTCATTAAGGGCTAGCTATAGGACTTAGTGCTTGCTGTCAAGCCTGACAGCCCAAGTTCCAATCCCTTGGACCTACATAGTGGAAGGTGAGAAATGACTCTCACAAATTATCCTCTGACCTCCACATGCATGGCATGTTCCATGCACACCCACACTCACACACACAATAAATACATGTAATAAAAGTATATCACTTTAAGAGCTCTCAGCGGAGGGGAGCCAAGTTTAAGAGGTAAAAACATCGGATGCCCCATTAAATCTGAATTTTGGGTAAACAATGAATCACTTTTTGCATCTGTGTGCCTCATGCACTATTTGGGGCACATTTATACTAAAGAGCTATTTGAAATTCAAATTTAATGGAATAGCCTACATTTTATCTGGAAACTACCCAGCTACCCCAGGGTATGGAAGAAGGATTAAAGTCTTTCACCTACTCCACAGCCTGCTGTCCAACTGGTATTCTAACCAGCCTCTTTGGAAACATCTTTCAACACCCAAATTGAGCAGATGGGCTAAGTAGAGGCTTCTTCCGGAGCAGCTGAGTCCAGTGTCTGCCTTGTGGGAGTGCCCAGCACTGGGCCAGGCCACAGCTAGTGCTCAAAAGAGTTTTCCTAGTTTATGCAAGGCTGCTTGGGTTCTAGTACTAAGCTCAGGAGACGGTGAGAATGTGAGGTCCAGGCTGCTTTGGGGATAAAGAGACTTTCAAGAAAAGTACAACTGGGGTAAAGTTTGGGGAGGTCATCACCACCCACTTCATAGGGCTGTGACTATCAAATAAGGAAACGGCCAAGGGTACATCTTGTTAAACCCCACATAGGTTATGATCAAGACCTCTGAGTGGCCAGCTTTAGCACAGGGCCTTACAACCTTCACTCTGCCAAACATCGATGGGATGAAGCACCACATACAGACACACAAGGCCAGCGCCTCTGGACGCCTTAGCAATAATGACTAATGTCTGTCCAGCACTTTGAGATTTGCCAAATCCATTCTTTAAAGGCCTCCCATCAGCACTACGAGGTGAGGGTGAGCTGGGGACCATTTCCCAGAGGATGATGAGGTTGGCCTGGAGCTGAGACCAGACGGGGGAACAAGTGGGCTGCGGTGGGGTCCCCACAGGAGCAGAGACGGGGCCAGGCCTACCTTCTGAGCCTGCTGGATCATCTGCCTGACCACCTGCTTCAGGTGCGGCGCCTTCTCCTCTTTGGGTGGGTGGGTGAAAAGGGTGACACGGCTCACGCCGCGGTAGAAGCCGGAGTCGGTCCATCCCAGGTCCAGCGGGGGCACCTCGGTGTCGGAGCGGTCGGGCCAGTAGGCCAGGGACTCGGCGGGCTCGGCAGGGGTCTGCGCGGGGGCCTTGGCCTTGGCCTTGCTCTTGCTGCGGGCACCGGCGACGGCGTCCTCGTAGGGGCTCCAGGCTGCGCGGAGGGCCTGGCGCTCCGGGCTGGAGAGGAAGTCCCGCAGCCTCTCCTTGTGGACCTGCTCTCGGTAGGCCTGCTCGCCGCCTCCCAGCAGCGCCTCCAGCGCGGCCCGCCGCCGCTCACAGTAGTAGAATGCGGCCTGCGCCTCGCTCACCTTCTCGTTCACGTGCGCCTCGTCCAGGCAGCTCAGCTGGGACTCGGCCATGGCGCAGTGGCCGCCCTCCCGGTCCCGGTTCCCGGCCCAGAGGTTCCGCCGCTGCACCTGGGGCCGCGGAGGGGCAGGGCGCCTCACCTGGCCACCCCGGCCCGCCCCGGGAGCAGCAGCCGGCCAATCGGTGCGCGCGCTGCCGTTGGACGGCGAGGAGCCACCGCCCCTCCGGGGACCTCCGGGGCTCCCCAAGGACCCTGGCCTGCTGAGTCCTGGTGGGATGGGACCCGGAGCCTCAGGGTGGAAATGAGCCCGCAGCCGGGGCTGCAGTTAGGCTCCAGTGCAGCCTTTGACCCACGCCCACCTTCCTATCTGGAAAGGTTGATGACCTGACCGTCCTGCCCCCAACACCCCCTACTGACGTCGCCGGGCAGGTGCGCTCGTCTTCCCGGGCAGGTAGGACCCAGAGCACGTGTTCTGGCCCGGATCCCTGTGGGGGCTAGCTCATGTGACCCCTCCCGCCTGCAGGGTCCCCGGGGTCGCTGCCTCTGGGCGAGAGGATGACGACTGTGAAGGGAGTGGATGGTGTGTGGAAAAGCAAAGTTGCTAACGAAATTCCGAGTTTCCCCGCCCACACGTCCCAGTTCTGAGATCTGAGGCCTTCAGGGGCTGTCAGTTCGACACCGTCACTACAAATTTTTTCTTCTAAAAAAGCCACCCAAACAGAAAAAATGTAAGCGACAGCAGTGGGATTTACCCCTCATTTTAATTTGAAGTGGTGTGTGCGTGTGTTTCACTGTGTGTGTGTGTGTGTGTGTGTGTGTGTGTGTGTGTGTGTGTGTGTGTGTGTGTGTCTTTCTCTCTCTCTCTCTCTCTCTCTCTCTGGGCTTGATAGGCTGCCAGAGGCCTGATTACTGTATTAGTGATTCAAAATATATGTTTGCTCTCAAGGAAGGAAGCCCAGCATAGACACGCGGGGCGCACACACCACCGGCGGCTCTGCTGTTTCTCATTGGATTAAACACAATCTTCTTAGTCATTAACATATTATTTTGTTCGTGTGCAGCTGCACAATTTGATTCTCCACATTCAAAATATTTTCAGATCATAGCAACCAGAGGTTCGCTTTTCTCTCATTTTATAGCACAGCGTCTTAGAGCTGGAAGGAGCTTTAGAGACGAATCCAACCCCCTCATTTTACAAACAAGGAAATTGAGGCCTAGAAATGGTGATTTTCTAGGTCTCTGGTGAAAGAAGGCTGAGCTGGGGACCACCAATCTCTGTCTGTCTTGGCCGACATATGGAACCTTTGGTCTTTCTTCAAATGAAGCCAGATTATTTGGGGAACAGGTTTTAACTTGGGGTCTGAGGTGTGATTAGGTCAATTACCATTTCTCTCTCTCTCTCTGGCTGGGGATGGGACTTGGGGCTTTGTGCATTCTAGGAAAGTGCTATATCACTCTACAGCCCCACTGATGGTCTGCAAATTTTGTGACAATAGTCTCTTCTAGCATCCTCAGTCAGCCCAGAGACTGGGGACAGGGACCGGGATGGGGGTGGGGGGGGGTGGATGGTAAACAGCCCTGTCACCTCGCCTGTTCTTTGTCAGTTTTAGGAATTAGACGGCTTCAATCCTGGTAACACCCTGCTCTAAAGGTACTGTAGACATACTGAACCTTTAGTTGGGAGAATGTTTGCTTCTTTCCTAATGACTTGAGGCCCCCTGAGGTACTAGGTCCTCTGCCTTAAGAATATAAAGGTGTTCAGGCAGTAGGAGGGAGAGATGGACAATCAAGGGTAAGGCAGCTGAGGAGGATAACATGATTGTACAGAAAAGTGTGTTGGGGCTGGGGAGATGGCTCAGTGGTTAAGAACCCTGGTTTTTCTTACAGAAAACCTGGGTTCGAATCCCAGCACCCACATGGCAGCTAACAACTGTAATACAAGTCCCAGGGGATCCGACAGCCTCTTCTGACTTCCTTGGGCCTTGCACAACACGGGTGCACTTACCTACATGTGGGCAATATACACATACACAAAAATAAATAAATAAAATAAAAAGTGTTTTAATAAATGCAGTCAAGCCAGATGTGGTGGCATATACCTGTAATCCCGGCCCCAGAGAAGTTGAGGTAGAAGGATGGTGAGTTGGAGGTCAGCCTGGACAACATAACCCTATCTCAGGGCTGGAGAGATGGTTCAGGGGTTAAGAGCACTGACTGTTCTTGCAGAAGACCTGGATTCGATTCCCAGTACCTACTTAGTGGCTAACAACCATCTGTAACTCCAGTTCCAACACCTTCTTCTGACTTCTGTGGGCATTGCATGACTGGGTGCACTTACATCATGCAGGCAATACACTCATACACGTAAAATTAAAAAAATAAAAATAAAATATTAAAAAACCCAAAACTAAACAATAACAAAAATCAGTCACGTGTTTGAGAGCAAATTGTCTCAAACATTTACTCAATGTTTACTATGCCCCTGTCACAATTTATGCTCAGTTTTTACTTTGATTTATTTTGAGACTGACTCTCATGTAGCTCAGGGCCTCCAATGAACTATTATGGGGGAGACTAGCCTTGAACTCCTGATCCTTATTGCCTCTACCTCCCAAATACTAGGACTGCAGGCATGTGCCACCATGAGCAGCTCTCATATTATTTCTTTTACAATTTTTTTATTTGTATTTTATGAACATGAATGTTTTGCCTGCATACATGCAAGTATACCAGATGTGGGCAGTGCCTGAAGAGACCAGAAGAGGGCATTGGATCCCCTGGAACTGGAGTTATAGAAGGTTGTAAGCTACCATGTGGGTGCTGTGATCCAAACCTGGATCCTCTGGAAAAACAGCCAGTGCTCCTAACTGCTGAGCCTTTTTTTTCCCCAGTCCCTCAGTATATATTTCTTAGATAAAAGAATGAATTAGGGAGCTGAACATGATAGCTCATGCCTGTAATCTCAGCACTTAGGAGGCTGAAGCAGGAGGATTGTTGTGAATTGAAGGCCAGCCTAAGCTACATATTGAGCTCCAGACCAGCCCGTGCTACAGAATGAGATCCTATTTTAAAGAGAGAGAGAGAGAGAGAGAGAGAGAGAGAGAGAACAATAAAAACAGATAAACAGAAAAGAACAAATGGGGGCTAAGAGGGAGGCTTATACTGGGAGCTGTGGGAGCTATGAAGGAAAAAGCAGTTAGTCTGCTCAGTGGAGTGTGGGTGAGCAGAAGGGATTTTGAATGGAGCCTTAAAGATGAATAAAACCCAAGGAGGAGAGATGGAGTAAGGCTTGGGCATGGTCAGGGCAGTGTACTGACAGAGGAATGCAGGGGTTCAGCTGCAAGAACCTACCTGCTTTTTCAGGGTCTTGGTGACCCCATCTGTAAAATAGGGTAATGATACTGACATTTGACCTCCAAGTTGTTACAGGAGCTAAACAAGAACACATATTGGATATAATTAGTACTCTGACAGGCAGAACATGGTTTACAGTGGGGCTTCTAAGACTTTCTAGTGCAGAACAATCACCTGGGCCTATGTGTTGGGGTCTGTATAAAATACTGGTTCTGGTTCAGTAGGTCTTGCATGAGGCCTGAAATTCTCCATTTCTAAGAAGTTCCAGGTAGACTGAAAGATGGAGCTTTTTGTGGTTGTACTGACTGCATGTCCAGAAAGAGATCTCTCCTTTCTCAGCCTTGGTCTCATCGTCAGTGAAATATGGGCAAGAAGTCCTGGCTTACAGGATTATTTTTGTTGTTGTTGCTTTTTTTTTTTTTTTTTTTTTTTTTTAAAAAAGTGAGTAGAGAAAGGGTGCAGGAAGGACCTGAGAGGAGTTGGGAGAGGGGGTGAATATGATCAAAATATAATAAGATGTTATCAAAGAGCTAATTAAAAATAAATGTGATAAAAGACTTTGGAATATAAATGTGTTTATCAAATTTTTCACATATACAGTTCATATCATTGTAAATATAAAGCCTTAAAGAAAGAACTACCTACAAAGTAAATTTAAAAAATAAATTAGGAGCTGGGTGTGGTGGCACACACCTTTAATTCCAGCACTGGGTATAGGTTTTTTTTTTGTTTTTTTTTTTTTTTTTTTTTTTTTTTTTTTTTTTAAGACATGGTCTCACTATGTAGCCCTGGTTGGCCTAGAACTCGTTGTGTAGACCGGGCTGGCCTTAAACTTACAGAGATCCACCTGCTACTGTCTCTCAAGTGCTGGGATTTAAGATGGGCACTACCATGCTCAGCCCTCGCGGGATTCTTTGAGTAGGCCAACAAATTCATGGAAATGCAAATTCATGAAAATGTACCACTAAGCAGGTTTGGTGCAGGCAGCACCTGGTCCAGGGGGTTAGTGTTAGAATGTGGGAGGATGAGACTAGAGAGACACTGGGCCCAAATTGGGGTGGGGGTTTGGCTTTATTTGAGACTGGGCTTTACTATGTAGCCCTGGCTGGCTTGTTCCTCCTGCCTCAGCCCCTGGACTGATTGGATTACATGTGTGCCATCATGTCTGGCAGGGACCTTGACTTTAAATCTTATGCTATAACCACAGGAAAGCCACTGAAGTTTAAGAGACTAATAGATTAAGACTATAAGACTAAGAGCTATGACAGTATGGCAGCAATTACTATGTGCTCGGCAACATGCTAATCATTTTTTGCTTACCTTAAATGAACTGCATAATCCTATTGGAAAAACTACTGTTCTCATTTTACATGTGAGATAACCAAAGACAGAGAGCTTTAGGTCATCTACCTAGGAAGTAGAAGAGCCAGAATTCAAACCCAGACCATTTGATTCCAGAGCTTGTCTACCTCCTCCTCAGGTTGCTGTACTGCCGCCCTTCAAGATATGACAAAGGGACAGTGGAAAGAGAAAGTGTCTGCCTTGTTTACTAATTTATTCATTCAATAGACATTTGCCAAGTGCCTAGTGTAGTGCTTAGGGTTAGAAGCCATTTGGCCATTTACCAACTCTTTATTGAGCCTTACTACGCATAAGTCCCTGGTCCACCTAAAACAGGGATGCGGCTTTGAGTAAAACCAAGATTACCTGGAGCTTACATTGAACTAGAATGATTA